TCAAACATACAATATAATATTCAAAATTGTGTAGTTAAAAAAAAACAGCGTCAACTATATATTCACATGAGTTGCGTAGCATAGCTGTTATTTGCACTTGAGGGAACATGAACGTCGGGGTATTGAGTTTGAATCTTGAGAAACACATGATGTAGTGATGAGTGATCTGTGTGGCAGTGATGATATGGATTAGAACCTCCAACTTGGCTTGGACGTGATGGGTCTGCCCCACTGTCACTGCTGGAGCCAAATCCAGCATGATGTAGTTATCCGTGACTGCGCGCCGGTCGCTGCCTAGCCCTCCCTCTTCACGCGCTTGCAGCGGCAAGCACATGTGCCGCCCCGTCCGCCTGCGCCTGGTCCGGCCATCGGAGCTCGACGAGATCCCGAATGCAGAGGAGGAGGCGGAGCTCGGGAGGATCGCGGTGCGGAAGCAGCGCCCGTTCCGGTACGAGAACCTGGCAGCGACGACCCGGGGCTTCTCCACCAAGAACCGGTTGCGGCAGGACGGGTTCAACTCAGCCCCGTGTGCTGGGGCCGGCTCAATGACGGCCACGATGTCGCCGTCAAGTGCCTAGGACTAGGAGCAGGGTTGCGGCAGGGCGGCCGGGAGTTCCGGAACGACGACACGTTGCTGTCCTGGGTTGCTGCCCTTCCCCCCATTTCCTTGGCTTCTACAGCGTCTTCCCTGCTCTGCTTGATGCGCTGCATAGCGGGCCGTGAGAAGACGGCGCAGGGAGAGGTGCCTTCCTCTGCTCCCGTAGTCCCATATCTCCGGCTGCTCTTATCTCCTGTTGGTGTTGAAGGAGAGATGAGCGATAAGAAATGAATGAAAGTTTCCCCATGATTAAGGTACAACAGCCTCAACTCCCTATTTGCAATTAGCTTCCTGCATCCACTATGAAAAATAGCTTGCTACAATTTGTGTGGTTGAGATCTGAGAACACATAAATATTATCCCTCGATTATTTTCAGAGAAATAAATGGGTTTGCAAATTCTGGCTGCACAGTGCACACCAAATGCTCGAGAAAATGCCTTGCTAGAATATATGAATTTCAAGCTTCGGCACATGTATTTAACTACATACCTGTAAAACAAGAGAGAGACTGAGACTACTATCCTTGCCTGAAATTATTCTTCAATGCATACATGTTCTATGGTCTAAAGCTTTAGCCATTTGCAAATTCGCGTGTCTTAGTTGTTTGACTTGTTTCATGGGAGTAAATCAATCAATCTTAAGAAAAAACTAGCATAGTAATCACCATATTATCAAGCTGATAACATGATTTTATCGATTCATTGATATAAAATTAAGATAATTCACCAATGTTATTCTCTCTCACATTTTTAAATGTATCTTGGTATGTGAGAGTGAATTTGCCCCATTTTCCTTTCCCTTGCTTACTCAAACATGTCAAGAAATTTTATCACCAGTTCAAATTAGTTTATATTAAATTTAGGGAAGCGTTTGAGGCTTATATAAATCCTGAATTAAATTATGACACTACCTTCAATGAATCAACAGATCACATATCTTTTTTTCTTAATTTTATAATTATAATTATGTGTGTGTGAGTGAGAGTGAGTCAACATATGAGATGAGATTAAATGCAGGGCAACGCAATCATGCTACTTCTGTGGAAGTATCATTCAGATATTTGATAATTTAGATAGTAATATTCATTAACGCTGAGAGATGCAGAAATTATTAGGCAATGAGCACTAAACCAATTTTGGTTCAGGGAATAACATGTTAGTATATGATTCTTAGATAGAAAAAGCTTCCTTTATGGCCTGTTGTTCCCGAAAAAAAAAAGGATATGGACCTCAAAACTCACTGGCTCAATCATCTCTTCAAATAGCATACTTAGAAGCTAAAATTAATTGCTTTTACTTCGTATCCAGTATAGAGAAAACCTGATTGGCATGTCAACTTTAGGATTATCACCCCTCCTTTTTATTCTCTTAATCAAAATTGTTTGGTAATATCATTGATTGATTAAATGCTTAGCTATGGTCTATGGACAATGCTTGTACTAGAATAAAAATCTTAGTGGGGAAAATTGACACTCACTACGGGAAACAGTGCCTTTGCCGAGTGCCGCAAGGTTTGTCGAGTGGCAAACCACGGGCACTCGGCAAAGAGGTTCTTTGCCGAGTGCCAGACCAAGCACTCGGCAAAAATCTCTTTGCCGAGTGTCTAGCACTCGGCAAAGAGAAGCACTCGGCAAAGAGGGGCACTCGGCAAAGGGGGGTCGGGACAAACAACATCCGTGGCCGTCCCTTTTGCCGAGTGCCCTGCCGTTAGGCACTCGGCAAAGGAGCCACCTTTGCCGAGTGCCAAGCACTCGGCAAAGGCCTGCCACGTGGCAGGATTAGGGTCGGCCAGGGCGACAGCCTTTGCCGAGTGCCACGTGCGCCGGCACTCGGCAAAGGCCTCTTTGCCGAGTGCCACGTGCGCCGGCACTCGGCAAAGCCCTCTTTGCCGAGTGCCACCGCTGGCACTCGACAAACAGTATTTTTTTTTGTTTTTTTCTTCCCAATTTTTTTCTGGGGCCTTGATACAGTAAATAAATCTCAACTTCAAAACTTGGGACATTTTTGACTTTTTGTGCTATATTTCTTCAATTATTTTTGTTTCGTTGATTTTTTCCGACAATTCTAAATTTCAGTACATGAAATAATGGAATTTGTTCATTCAAAAAATGGTATTCATGATGTTCGGCGTATGTTGAGGCCGTATCCAGGACCTCGCATGAAGTTACGACCATGTTAGTGTCGTAACATGATGAGTTACTGCATGAAAAGTGTTTTTTAAATTATATAAAATCCAACGAAGTTGAAAATGGAAACTTTCTCGAGGTGTTTTGTCATGGCATCCATGAGGTGATGAGAAGACAATTGAGAAAGTTTAGAGAATTTTCTGACTTCGCTTTGGATTTTATATAATTTAAAACATTTTTCCCATGCAAGTAACTCGTCATGTTACAACACCAACATGGTCGTAATTTCATCCGAGTTCCTGGATACGGCCTCAACATATGCCAAACATCATGAATACCATTTTTTGAATGACCAAATTCCATTATTTCATATACATGCAGTTCAAATTTGGAGTAGTCAGAAAAATTCAATGAAACAAAAATAATTAAAGAAATATAGCACACAAACTCAAAATTGTCCCAAATTTTGAAGTTGAGATGTAATTACTGTATCAAGACCCCACAAAAAAATAGGAAGAAAAAAACAAAAAAAAAAATTAATTTGCCGAGTGCCAGGGGTGGCACTCGGCAAAGGGGTCCTTTGCTGAGTGCCGGCCACGTGACACTCGGGAAAGGCGAGCCGGCCTGGCAGGCCCTGAGCCTGCCACGTGGCAGCTCTTTGCCGAGTGCCAGGTCGGCTGGCACTCGGCAAAGATGGCGTCTTTGCCGAGTGCGAGCCGATCTGGCACTCGGCAAAGCCTTTAACCTAAAGGCCGACACGGGCCAGCCCAACCCCCACTCCTCACTCCTCACTCCTCCCTCGCGCCGCCGCCGCTACGCCCGCCGCCGCCCCTTCCTCCGACGCGCCCGCGAGCAGCCGGCCGGCGGCCCGAGCTCCCCCGCCCGCCCCGCATCCCCGGCCGCCGCGCCCCAAGCTCCGCCCCGCGCTGCCCAGAGATCCCTTCTCCTCCTCGCCACCGTGGAATTTCGTGGTCCCGTTCTCCATCTGTCTGCAGGCGTTGATCGTGGCGGTGGAAGCTCCCTCCTTGAGCATAGAGCACCCTGCCGTCCATCCGGTGAAGAAGACTTGACCACATCCTTGCAGCCGCCGTGGACGCGCCCGTCCATCCGACAGTACGCAGCGGCGCTGAGGTATGCTCCCTATCCTCTGCTAGATCCACGAGGTACACTGTAGCTCCGGATTTCCATGTATGTTGATGCTAGTCTAAGATTATTTCCTGGAATGGCCATGATAGTATAAGAGAGCAGTGATGGCTGGTTCTTTGTGGTCCATGCACTACCTTATTGATTAATTAGAACAAAATCTTAGCTTAATTACCTGCAACTTCTTCCTCGTCTTATTGGTTAGTGTGATTTAACTTTATTATTAGATACTAATGCTATCAGCTTTATAATTATGGAGAGAAAAAATGATAGCTCACTTACTCTTGCACTGAACCTGCCAGTTCTGTTCTGTTGGAACTGAACTTAAGAATAAACAGTCTGTTATTCCTGTTCTTTGTTACAAATAACTTGTGGATTTGTTTCTGTTAGACAGGCTATTAGGGGCCTAGCTATGTTTAAGCCGTGGGTGGGCTTAGGCCCATGCACTTAGGGTTGCTGCTGCCTATAGCTTTGGCGCACCCTGTGGTTGCCTGTAACCCTGTATATATGCATATGTATCCTGTACTTGACAATCATCAATCTAATCCCACGCAATATTCTCTGCTTTTACAGTTTCTGTTTGACATGTTGTAAACTAAGCTCTTGTCTATCTTGGGCTCTATTTTATTGGACGAATATTTTTTATTCTCAGTCTGCTTTCTATTTTTCTTGAATCCGGATACAGTTTTATCAAGCTTTATTTAGAAGTAAAGGTGTTCTCTTTATTATATAACTTCAAATGTAACATTCAATTTGTATCATATTCTATTGAATAATAACTGCAAACCAAATTACACTGTTATTTGTTCAGCACAATAAGAACAGAGAAATAAATATATCATGCATATAGAGCGTCCTTGTATTGCACGCTATTCCACAAACTGATACAAACTATTTTGCATGCTACATAGATACATACATCATAAGCATACCTCCAGTGTTATAGTAGATTTTAAAATACTGAAACCCATACTAATGCAAGCATAGCTAGGAAGTACAAGTACTGCAAATCTGCTAGGCAGATAGCTGAGTGACCTGACCTATATAGATGTATTCCTTCAGGCTTCAATAGTGAGGGCCTTATTTACCGTAACCAAATAGTGGAGCCAACATCATGGTTTCTTCATATTCTATCACATCATGGTTTCTTGATCTTCCATCTTCCAGAATACCTCAGGATATTTGTAGTCCCACATAGCAGGTGATGGTAGATGACAGGGGATACTGCTGCATGTCTTCTCATTTCCTTCAGCAATCTCTCTGTATTCACCTAAATTTAGTAACTGAGAGAAGTTACTATCTAGAAAAACTTCAGATCAAACCTGTTCCCCCACCAAGCATGGAGCTCAATAATAAGGCGTTCTTCTTGTGGTGACATGCGGCCATGCTTGAGGCTAGGATGAAGGTAGTTCACCCACCGCAGGCGGCAGCTCTTTCCTGTCCTGTTGAGGCCTGCATGAACATAGAGATTGTATAGTATGAAGAGGACTGGTTAGACAGGAAGACATTTATGTTTGCGACTTTGCGCTAAGGATAGCAAAATAGCTACCTAAGTTGCAGTTCGCCAACCCCTCAAACCCCGCCGCGGCCCTTGCTATATTCTTGATATTTGGTTAATGCTTTTCTCCCTTTTCCTTAGAATGATTCATATCCTTGTTTTCCTATTGCTGTCTTTTGGGTTGCAGATTTTTTATAAGTCAGAAATTATAAATATAAACTCAGAAATTATCTACCTGCATCTCTAATGAGCCAAATCCACCTTCTGAATCTAGAATATTTTCTTGTTTTGCAGAGAAGAGCGGATCTGGAGTAGCCCCGCGCCTTGCCGGTCTGCCTGCATAGCGTCGCCTCACCACAGCACCGCCACCCTAGGTATAACCCCTGTACCCGTACCTTGGTCATAGATCCCGTCACCCAGTTAGGCGTCTCCCGTCCGAAAGAGATACGGTCGGAGGTATGCAGGTCTTTGCATATATGCGACCGTATCTGTTTTGGATTGTCCACGTTTTTTGGACAGCCCGCGGATGCATAGATGAGTTAGCTTCCATGTTCTGCTCCCGTCTGAGTCGGAGTTTCGGCAGCACCTCCCCGTGTTCTCCGGATACACACTCTCCCTGCGGGGACGTGTATCAGGAGAACAGCAGGGAGGTGCTGCCGAAATTCCGACTCGGACGGGGGCAGAACATGGAAGCTAACCCATCTACGCATCCACGGGTGGGATTAGGACCTATTCTTCACCTATTAGATGGTAGGAACGCCGTGTAGATGCAAATACTGGTTTTATTACCCGCTTACATTGGCGCATGACAGAGGATGGCTGACCGTGAGTGGATGTACACGGGTTTCGCAAGTAAGAGCTCTGAATGGGTTAGGGGGACCGATGCTTTCTTGGAGCATGCATTTGGCCTAGCTGCTAAAGGGTCGAGTCGGATGTCGTGTCCCTGCAACAAGTGTAAGAACAAGAAAAAGAAACGAAAGCGTGCCATGGGAGTAGATATTCACAATAACGGATTCGTTCCAAACTATACCCGCTGGATCCACCATGGTGAACACCATCGTATTAGGGAGGAGGTGGTGAGACCCCTCCTCGAGGAGTATGATGCAGATGCCGGGATGGCAGACTTTCATGAAGCACGGTTCGTTGAAGGAATGGAGGTGGAGGATGATCCAGAGGAAACCGCAAAGGCGTTCTACACCATGATGGAGGCGGCACAGAAGCCCCTTCACGAGAAGACAATGGTTTCGCAACTAGATGCCATTTCACGCCTAATAGCGTTGAAGTCGCAATTGGGCATTAGTCGAGGCGGCCGATCTCGTGTTTACAGATTCTTGGCAAGCGCTTCCGGATCCTCACACCTGCCGAAGAACACGTCACGAGTCACAGAGACTCCTTCGTGCACTTAAGATGCCGTATGAGGGGATCCAAGCTTTGTCAGAAAGTGCGTCCTATTGGGGAGACCCACGAAAGCAACACACCTTGTCCAAAGTGCAAAGCCTCTAGGTTTGTGGAGATAGAAAGGCGGTGATGGCAAGAAGAAAGCAGTCTAAGATCCCGAGATGGTCTTACGGCACCTTCCTTTCCTCTGAGAGGATCCAACGGTACGTACACATGAGAGAGGAGTCCATGAAACAAATGGCGTGGCCCAAGAATGGCAAAAGATACTGATCCCGACAAGATGGTACACCGGCGGATGGTGATGCATGGAAGCACTTCGATGACATGAATCCTGGCAAGGCTATGGAGGCTCGGAATGTACGCGTAGCGCTGGCAACAGATGGGTTCAACCCGTTTGGAATGATGGTGGCCCCGTACACTTGTTGACCCGTGTTTGTGATCCCCCTCAATCTTCCCCCCGGCGTCATGTTTGAACCCAGGAATGTGTTCTTGACGCTGATAATACCTGGACACCCGGGCAACAATATGGGTGTGTTCATGCAGCCAGTGTGGGATGAATTGCAACATGCTAGGGAAGAGGGGGTACTGACGTACGACCGAGCTACAAAGACGAACTTCACAATGCATGTGTAGTACCAGTATTCAATGCATGACTTCCTGGCGTATGGCTTATTCAGCGCATGGTGTGTTCACGGGAAGTTCCCTTGCCCAACATGCATGTCAGATGTGATGTTCACCTGGCTGCACAAGGGTGGCAAGTATTCTTCTTTCGACAAACATCGTCAATTCCTGCCTGAGAACCATGAATTGAGACGAGATGAAAAGCACTTCATGAAAGGTGTTCAAGTCACCGACCCCATTCCTCATGTTAAGAGCCCTGCCGAGGTCCTTGCCGAGATAGAGGCTCTCCAAATTGATGAAGTCAACGGTGGTTTTATTGGATATGGTAACGACCACATGTGGACTCATATATCGGGCTTGACTAGGCTCCCGTACTTCAAGCACCTTCTTCTTCCACACAACATCGATGTAATGCACATAGAAAAGAATGTCGCCGAGGCACTCTGGGCAACACTCATGGACATTGGTAAAAAGTCAAAGGACAACGTTAAGGCTAGACTAGACGTGGAAAAGATTTGCAATAGACCAAAGCTAGTGATGAAGACCCCTGCGCCAGGCAAGAGATGGAAAAGGGGCCCGGCCGATTACATCCTGAAAAGGGCCGATAGGAAGGAAGTACTGCAGTGGATGAAGATGTTACAGTTCCCGGATGGGTATGCGGCGAATCTGAGTAGGGGAGTGAACTTGCAGACTATGAAAGTCTTAGGGATGAAGAGTCATGACTTCCACATATGGATTGAGCGGATCCTTCCTGCGATGACCCGGGGATACCTCCCCGAGCCAGTGTGGCGCGTCCTGGCAGAGTTGAGCTTTTTCTTCCGCTAGCTTTGTGCCAAGGAGTTATCTCAGGACGTTTGTGTTGACCTGGAGAAGGCTGCACCTCTATTGCTTTGCAAGTTGGAGATGATATTTCCACCTAGCTTCTTCCTGTCGATGCAGCATCTGATTTTACACCTACCGCGTGAGGCACGGTTGGGGGGCCCGTGCAGGCCCGTTGGTGCTATCCAATCAAGAGGTGTCTAAAGCTTCTTCAGAAAAAGTATAGAAATAAAGCCAAAATTGAGGCTTCCGTGGCAGAGGCATTCATTCTGGAGGAGGTGTCGACATTCACACAGGCGTACTATATTGAGAAACTTCCCAGCATGCACAATCCAACCCCTCGTTACAACGCCGACGAGAACTCATCGAACCTCAGCCTTTTCCAAGGGGATCTCGGAAGAGGAAGCGCAGGTACCAACAAGAAATTGACCCATGATGAGTGGCGCACTATCATGATCTACTTGTTGTTGAACCTTGATGAAGTGATTCCTTATCAGAAGTAAGTTCTCAATGAGCTTGTTACATACGTCGTGACTATCCTCCACCTATCGATCCGACCCCCTTGTCTCTTGTTTTTTCAGGGAATATATTAATGAACACTGGAGAGGCAATAGGGCTCCTACCGAGCAAGAAGAAGACCATCTTCTCAGACATGGTGTGCCCGATTTCATTTCCTAGTTCTCTACAAAGGTACCATCCAACTAACCTCGTTTGCTCCTAGAAGATTCCACTTTGCTCCTAGGAGCGAGTAATGTAACGATCTACCTATCCTGACCTTGCAGGCCCGCACGGATGTGGAAATGGGTGATGAATTGAAACAGGTGGCCGGTGGCTTCTCCCGTAGGGTCAAGTCATTCACCGTTTATGATGTGAATGGCTATCGCTTTCGCACGAGAGCCTACGAGGAGAGTCGGGCCAACCTAAAAACCACGTGCAGTGGAGTTCGTACGCCCGTCACGGATGAGAAGGACTATTACGGCATAGTCGAAGAGATATACGAGCTCAAATTTAAGGGCGCCAAAGCTTTTAAGCCAGTGGTATTCAAATGCCATTGGTTCGATCCTGATGTCACGAAAAAGACCTTAAGATTGGGCAAGTCGAAATTCGACAGGATTCCAACTATAAAGGAGACGATGTCTATATTGTGGCTAACCGACACGCCACGCAAGTGTATTACCTCCCATGGGCGTCCCAAAAAGACGAGAAGCTTGCGGGTTGGAGCCTTGTGCACTTGGTCTCGCCGCGCGGTAAAGCGGCTGTCCCAAACGATGATGATTACAACTTTGACCCAAACAAAGATGAGTTCTATCAACCTGAGGGGCTAGAAGGTAGTTTGGAGATAGACATTCTTTCGCTCATGGGCATGGAAGTAGACAACGACATCGATGAGGACGAGGGTGATGAGGTGCAGGATGCTGAGGACTTACGAATCCTTGAGCGATGGCAGATGGAGCGCGATGGAGTTGAGGACGATGTAGATGATGATGACGATGGAGATGATGAGGACAATGGAGATGATGCCCGACACTTAAGAGAGCTCGACAATATTGATAGTGATGACGACTACACGCCAGCCATATTGCCGTTCGCGGAGATAATTTCTAATTCATGTAATACTATATTGTTATTATTATTACCTTGCAATTATGTTTCTTTACAAGTACTTGTCAGTTATTTATGCTAACTATTTTAATCTTTGTCATTGCAGGCACTTGACAAAATGCCGGGCGGAAGGCGGCAGCGGCCGCATCGACAGGTCCGCTCGCAGTACCAGATCCGCCATGAGGAGCAAGCGACCGCCGCCGACGAGGACGAGGATGAGCAGTTGGTGGAGCCGTCGACCAGTAGGGGGGGGGCAGCGGACGTCGCACATCGACGAGGAGGCTGCAGTTCTAGGAGGCCCCGCAAGGGGGGACGACGACGACTACCGGTGATGGCGGCGGCGACGACGACGACGACGATGACGGGGGCGAGCCGACACCAGGCGAGACGACTTCCTCAGGTTCGAGCAAGCCCTACCAGCGTGGGCCCTCATCGCTCCCTGAGCCAC